AATATATTTCATTAATATTATTTTATAATTTATTCTTGTTTTTATATTTTTATTTATTTTATTTTATTTTTATTTAATTTATTTTAATATATTTTAATTATTTCAAATATTTCATTAATACTTACTTAATGATGTCTGCAGCTACAGAGTATCACAGACGCCCGCAGTAGCCTTGACGAAATATGACGTACGTCATCACACTTTTGCACTACCGTCGCGATATACCGTATTTGCATATAACACGAGTCGCCCGAATACTTTTTTCGACACTCCCGAGATCACACGGTTATTTCAAGACGACATTTTTTATTCTCGATAACTTCAAATCATATACATATATACATATCTCTGATATGAAAAAACAAGTGGATTTTACGACCGTAATATCGTCATATTACTGAAATATTGTAATAATGCCGTGATATAATTTTGAATATAGCGATCACAGAATTAATCACACGCTCGACTAATTAACATTTCTCCGACACGAACGATGTTCAATCGCGAGTTATATCAGAAACCTCCCGACGCCACAACAATCGCGCGCGCGACAAACCGGAAATGAAAGCGAGAGGCGACGAGACATCGAGACTATCGATAGTTGATTCCGTTCGCGCGGGAAAACATCGCGGTTCGATTCCGGTATTCCAACTTTCATAACATGGCTGCCGTAGTGCAAATTATTTGAAAAAATTTCGACTACACATATACACACATAAATGCATATCGAATATAAAACACTACCCCAATAACAATAACTTTTATCACTAATTATTAATACACGCGCTGCGATATTCATTCATAGTCAATTGACTTGTCACTGTCAACAATATATTATCCAAATTCCGTAGATAATAACGCCCAGCAAACACAGTATATAAATGTTATATACTTAAGCATGTTACATGTAACGTATATGTTAGTTGTAATTTCCCACTCATAGATGTAACATTTTTAATATTACATATATTACATTGTAGTTATATTGTCATTATATCCCAAGATAGCACTGACTTATCAATACATCAATGTAATATATGTTATATTAAAATGTTACATCTACGAGTGGGAAATTACAACTAACATGGATGTTACATGTAACGTACACGTTATATTACCTGTTATATTCCGTTTTATATTATAGCAATGTAACAATTATATATCGGTGTTTGCTGGGGCGCATTCACGACACACGCTGAAAATCGCGATTTTCATTGCGTTGTACACCCGTTATTACTGACAATATTATCGAGAGCGACGAATCAATTATCCGATAAATACCGCGACGCGTTCGTCAATAATTAGTGATAAAAATTGTTTTATGATATATTAGCGACGTACACACACATACCTCCCGGCAGCCATGTTGAATTCTACAAACTCGGAATAACGAAATCGGACTAGATGTCCTAATGAGCGGTTCACATGTAAGACGAACGAGCGTCCAATAGGAGAGGAGCTTTCCTAGGGATAAAAATGGCGGTTGCAATCCACTTTTCCTATTGGCTGTCAAACGTGGACGTCTGACGTAAAGTGAATCGTCCGTCCGAAAATGCTTCGTCCAGTGTTCGCCGGGTTGAATAGGCAGAAAAGGTTATATTGTATTGGTTTTGGTTAATTTAGATTAGATTTTTCGCGCTCATTTATACTCGATTTCTTTCTGTCCTTGTCAAAAATAAAATGACAGAATATAATATTTAAAGTATATGTGTAAAATGTCTTTGACAACAATGCGATCTAATTTATGATAATCGTTGCAATTTGAAAAATATTCTTGTACATACATAGATTTGATAAATACCAAAATGCATTTAATATCTTATATGACGATACTAATTTCCTTTATTATATTGTGTCATACATGGGAGGTATGTATTTCTTTTATTAAATTAACAGAATTTGACTTGTCCTCTCTTTTGAGTGATATATTTATTTAATTTATAGATACCAGAAAACTTTGCAAAAACTGAACATTCTAACAATTGGGCAGTTTTGGTCGATACATCACGTTTTTGGTTCAACTATAGACATGTTGCGAATGTTTTGTCTATTTATCGAAGTGTTAAACGCTTGGGAATACCAGATTCGCAAATCATTCTTATGATAGCTGATGATATGGCGTGCAATCCCAGAAATCCTAGACCAGCGACAGTTTTCAACAACATTAAACAACATATTAATGTTTATGGCGATGATGTAGAAGTTGATTACAGAGGTTACGAAGTGACAGTGGAAAATTTTGTAAGATTATTAACCGGTCGCTTAGCAGAAGAAACTCCAAGATCTAAAAAGCTGTTAACGGATGAAGGTTCAAATATCTTAATTTATTTAACTGGCCATGGCGGTAATGGATTCTTAAAGTTTCAAGATTCTGAAGAAATCACTAGTCAAGAATTAGGAGATGCATTAGAACAAATGTGGCAAAAACGCAGATACCATGAAATTTTATTTGTGGTTGACACTTGTCAAGCAAGTTCAATGTATGAAAAGTTTTATTCCCCAAATATATTAGCAGTTGCTTCTAGCTTAGTAGGGGAAGATTCACTTTCTGTAAGTAAGCAATATTGTAATTATACACAATTATATCAGAATAATATCTAATCTATAATATACTTGCAGCATCATGTAGATCCTGCCATTGGTGTTTATATTATAGATCGATACACCTATTATGCATTAAACTTTTTAGAAAAAGTGGAACCATCTAGTACTAAAACATTGGGTGAATTTGTAAGCATCTTATTTTAACACTGAATTAAAATTTTTGTCTGCATTGCTTCAAGGTTTACTATTTCTATTTATTTATTTATTTATTTATTTATTTTTAGTTGAAGGTGTGTCCAAGAGATTATTGTTTATCTACAGTAGGTGTAAGAAGAGATTTGTTTAGAAGAGATCCAGATAAAGTGCCAGTAACAGATTTCTTTGGGTCTCTTAGACCTGTGGAACTTACAACAAATATAGTGAATGTTTTACCTGTTAAGTCTAATCGCACAAGAATTCAAAAGCCAAAAGAAAAATGGAGTTATGTTGCACAGTTTCCTGATGTAGTCCAATATGTATGAATAATAAGAAAAGACCAACTTTTTGCTATATAATCATTTGATTTTACTTGGAGATTACAGAAAATAGGTATGTTTCTAATCCATATTATTAATTTATATGATTATTAAAATAGAAAACTATTTATAGTTATTTTCTTTTATCTTTAATATTTAAGTATATGTAATACTTATTTTGTTTTAGACAAAGCATTAAAGAATAGAGTTGAGATATCTGATAAAACACTTGATGATAATATTAAGATAATAGTAAGAAATAACAGTACTATACATATTATACACATATATAAAATTTCTATTATCTTTTCTTTTAAATAAAAATTGCCATTTTTTCCTCTTTATCACTATTAATATGAGTGTGTATCTTCTCATCTTTTTTCGATTTTTTTTCTCTATACAAGTACATTGATATTGATTTTTTAATATATTATTTAAAATTATATTAAAATATATTTTTTTACTATAAGAATTTATGCAACATCTTTAACACTGTTTGTGAACTATAGTTTTGAGAAACTTTTGAGTGGGTAAACATTTTTTAATTAAAATTTGTGCTTGTTACATGTATAATATATCTTGATATTATCATTTTTATCGTTTTTGTGTACAAATAAGAAATTGTCATTTTAAACAACTAAATTGTGGTATTCTAAAGTAATTGATCATAGATATCTTCTTGGCCTAGGTCGGTGAAATGACCTTATGACGAATAATATTTTATAAAATTATCAGTCATGCTGTCATCAAATTGATATCTACTTTGAAAATAAAAAGTACAATTTGTCTATTTGGCATAATATAAAAGTAAATAATTCTGCGTATTGCACTGTGAATGACGTAATTTGTTGCGCATTAATTTCGCAGGATTTTCCGAGATTTTATCGAGATAATTATATTTGCATATATAAATATGAGCTTTCCGAGATTAAGGTATCAGTTCATGGCAAACATTAGTCTTATATAGTATACTTGTAGTTCTTACATTAGTGTGCAATTTTTTCAAAAAGTGTAACTGTATATGTGTGTTTGAGAACACCCATATACATACATATATCTCAGATAAATATTATCTATACATTTATTAAAGTGAGTGCATTTTTTTAATATAGAGATCTTTATTCTTTTCGAATATTTCTATTCTGTAATATAAACTGTCAAAATGAGATACAGTTGCGATTTACAATTGTGATTCTAACTGTTATTAAAATATGTTACAGATGTGGTGCATATTTTATTGCACCTTTTGGCTTCTGATATGTTCTGTGCAATCATATGTAGCAGATCAAAAATTTATAGAAGTACACGAATTGAATTCTAAGGAGTTGTCACTTACAGATCAACTGGCTCCCATAGATCCTGCTTTACATGCTTTTCCAACAATTCCAACGGTTCCCCTCTTGCCGAATTGTATAAAGGAAGGCTATTTGAGAGATCCATTTAATTGCGGCAAGTTTTATCGTTGTGAACACAGTCAGAGCATACCAGTGACATACTATTGTCAACCGGGATTAATCTTCAACACACTGACAGAATCATGTGATCAACCGCAAAATGTGCAGTGTTAATGTATGATAAAACTGTTACTCTTTTGATAATCTGCAACATATATATTCTTGTAAGTAGTAAGAATTTAATTTTAAAATTTATTCCTTATTTGTTGTGTTATACATATTATGTTATTAATTGCAAAATGTTTGCAATATTAGAATAAATTTATTCGTGATTATATATTTTTTTCAATTTTATACAATTACGATTAACAGCGAGTTGCTGTGATTCTAATCTAATATACATATGTAACACATGTATATTGGAATAATTATGAAAATAATTTCTTTTCTTTTGTATGTTTTTTTTAACAATGCGATAAATTCTTTTCTTAGAAAAATATAAAGGCAAAAACACTTATGAATTTAATGATTATATTTGCACAAGAAATACAAATTATATACTTGTTTGTTTATTATATGGCAATGCTATATAATAAATAGCAGCAAATTGTGTATACAATGTTAACATTTTTATTATCATTAATTGCATCCGGCAGCTGTATAGTCGCAAGTGTTGGTGTTCGTATTGAAGACTAGTCCACTTGGGCAAGTCATTCTGTGACTTTTGCCACCATCTTCGCAAAGGTAGAATACATTGCAGTCTTTTTCATCACGGACGAAATCACCAGCTTTTTTGCAAATACCGTTGGGAGGCGAAGTTACTGGTGGTTGTGTTGTCGGTGCAGTTGGTTTGTTAGACGGATTTGGTGCGTCTGTCGGTCTAGTTGGTTCTAGCGGGACTCCTCCTCTCAGTTCGGCATTTAGTGTTTTCAGCAGAGGATACTTTTCACCACAGTTGCCATTGAAATCATCGGTCTCGATACTCCAAAGCATCCCACCACCGAGATTCATGGATTTGATGTAATTCGTCTTCTCGATAAGAGAACTGTAAAATAATTATATTGTATGTACACAGTATTTCTCGTTACTATTGAAGATTATACTCTGTTCAATACAACAGAATAATAAATCAGAAAGAAATCTCGTTATGACTTGACTTATAGGGAAGTACATTATACACAAATTATCTAAATTAATTAACGAAGAGATCACTTACGTTACGTCGTCATAGCCAACCCATTGATCGCCCTTGACAGCGTATGGGACGCGATGCTCTTCTTGACGGACAATCGTCCATCCACCCTGTTTGAAGGACTCGCAAATCTCATTGTAACCGAGCATTCCACCCTCACGAGTATACGGACCGGCAGTACCAGGTCCCTTGATAGGAGCTCCGAGACCGTTTTGATTACTGTCGGAGAGAGTGAACGCTCTACCATAGAATGGCACACCAAGGATCAGCTTCTCGCGCGGGCAACCACTGTCCAGCCAATAGCGAACGGATGCATCCTATGAGAAACAGATATTCTTTTTTGAAATTGCTTTTATCCATCGCACATCGATTTTAATATTTAATATAATTTACAAGGTCTGATACATTGGACAAAGAGGGGATACTTACGACATTAAGTTTAAGATCGTTTCCAGACTCGCCATTGCGTGGATAGAGCGGAGCGTTGTGACCAGTTACTTTCTCCCAAGCACCATGAAAATCGTATGTCATAATGTTGATGTAATGCAAGTACTTGGACATCGCCGGGATATCATAGGACAGAGAAGCCGAAGGCTCGGCAGCGGCGACGGCAGCAGAGAGAATAAGTCCGTGTTTGTCGAATTCAGTTCTCAGTTCCTTAAGCAAGCTTATGTAGTTCTGCACGTCCGCTGGCTTGCCACCACGCTGATTAGGATACTCCCAATCGACGTCGAAACCATCGAACTTGTATTTCAGACAAAACTCAACGACGTTCTTGACAAATCTTGCGCGAATAGTCGGATTAGCGACGACATCGGAGTACTTGGCGGATCCCTCGTTCCATCCACCGATAGCGATGAGCGTCTTTGTGGTCGGGCTCAGTTCTCGAAGCTTGTTGAATCTTCCAAAACCGTCCTTGCCCCAATTGTCGGGAAGATCTTGCCATGCGTCCAAAATTACGACATTGCCTTCTGTATTGATGCCGACGAAGGAATAGATCAGATGGGTGCAGAGTTCCGGTTGAATGTATGAGATGTCATATTTGCCACCCGGAGGTCGGTACACGGCCCAACTACCGAAATAACACATTATGATCTTATCTGCGGAATAAGAAAGGTGTTATTAATAAATGTTGTATGGAAAAGAATCCAATTTTCTTTTAATTGATCTTACCTCCTGAATTGTTAGCCGCAGCCACAGCAGCCAAAGCCGCGAAAATGAGTATCCAACGATTCATCTGTAAATTAAACATTGCAAAATGTAATTTGGATAAGATTACATTTTGGAAATTTTTAAAATATATTGTTCCATTAAATATACACGCATATGTACTAAATTTTATTTTTCGAAAATTGTCGATTTTTATACGAGATAAATTGATCATTAGGATATACAATTGTTTTTACCTTGTAACCAGGTACCAGAATCAATTCCGTCAATATAGGACGCAGAACCCAAATTTTTTCGCGCACGCGATATATATACATATTTTTGTCGAAAATAATGCACGATTTTTGTCTGTTTGATTACGATTAATGTCAATACAATTCATTTATGCGCACAAGAAAATGTATTTACATTATTACGATCAAGAATTTTCGAAAATATATATACAGGTGTGACGTTATTATATATTTAATTTTGTTCAACACTTGATTCTACAAATCAATCCATCTGACCTGAACACCTGTTTCGTTTGTCAAGTGTATACATATTTTACATAAAGGTGATTAATGTCTCTATATGTTTTTTATATTTCGCATCTTTATCATACACATTTTTCTATATATCTTTTTCTCTATGTAGATCTATAGTTTAGCATTTTTGTATATATAAACAAGTTATTTGAATATATATTAAAATTTTTTAATTCTCTAAAATAATACATATATATTATAATAATTGATTAAAGCATGTTATTTTTTGTGTATATTCAACATATAACGTTTGATAAGCAAATAATGGAATGTTTTTGATTTATTTCAATCAGCAGAGAACTGACAACTATATATTTACATTTTACGTATATTAATATCAAATAAAAAAATGTTACCAATTATTTTTTATCGCTTTTCACGTTTTGCTTTTAATTTTAAAGCTATTATTATGTCATTACGAACCCTTTTAGCACGCAAATATTTTACAAGTGCAAAATGTTAATTATTATCGAGTGCCAAATTTTCACTCAATCATTTCACATCATCGAGCAATAATTCAATAAATTATTCACGAATGAATATGCAATTCGTAACATTTACAGCAATATCATGAAAAAAATAAAATAATTATAAACAGATATGTGTGACATTGATTATATGCGCACGGCTGAATAAGAAGCAAATATAAGTGCGTAATATATAATTAGTAGCATGGTTTAATTGAAATAATACAATAACATAATTTTTAAAACATAAGATTAAGAAAAATTTCAAAAAAATATTATTTAAACAATAACGCGCGTGAATAACAATTCGATAATTATATGTAAATTATATATATATATATATACAGGGTTATCGAAAAGTATCGGACCCCCCTAATATCTTCAGTTAGAATGCATTTTGGAGAAAATGTCCAATAGCAAAGTTGTATGATTTCAAGCGGGGAGTAAGATGATGACCTTGACCATGTTCTTCAAGATCATTTCAAGGTCAACCTAATTTTTGTAAATAGAACCCCCTACATTTTATTGCATATTCTTATAGCTTATCTCGAGAGCTTTCCAAAACACTATAATAAAACATTTTTTCATTAAGTACTTTTGAATTATACAGGTTAACCTTGTTAACTTCAAATCTGTATAATTCAAAAAGTACTTAATGAAAAAATGTTTTATTATAGTGTTTTGGAAAGCTCTCGAGATAAGCTATAAGAATATGCAATAAAAAAGGAGGCAAAATGCATTCTAACTGAAAATATTAGGGGGGTCCGATATTTTTCGATGACCCTGTGTATATATGTATAATTAGCACATAAATTTTATATATAATAAGATTTAGATTTAAATATTTCAATCTTCATTTTAAATCAATAATTATATTTAGATAAATAATATAAATAAAATAAATATTATAGGTACAAGCATTATATATATAATTACCTTTGATAACAATAAATTGTCAGAGACTGTCAAAGACTGTCAAGTCGCGGTCCTTCTTTTATCAGGTGTACCTCGATATCATTTTTTAATGATAGTGTATCGATTGTGATAGATAATGTTAATACAGTATAATCTATGCTCTGAACATATGCTTACATAGATTCATGTATGTAGAAAAAATGTATATGTACACAAATTTGATATATAGTTATATCTTAAGATTTATAATAGAGGAAACAAATAAATTCAATTACAAAAATTACGTATACATAATACATATATGATATCATATACTTTTTCTGATAGATTGTACAGGACAACGCCCAATTTAATGATAAATTTGTTCTTTGTTGCGTAATACTGATTAGAGCGAATTTTAAAATGCTTATCATTCTTAATAATCTTATAAATGAATCATTCTAATAACAAACTTGCCTCCTACTCACTTAACTGTGGTGATAAGTACTATTATTTATTTACACAATTTTTATCAAACGATTTAATTTTTTAGAGCAAAAGCTTAATGAATGACAGCAATATATGATATACTTATTTTTATTTATGATTTATTACGCCTTTTCTAATTTTCAATATAAAAATGATATTTCAATAAACACAAATAAAACTATATCTATATGTATAATACATATTTATATAATAAATTAAAATTTTTTAGTTGCTTGTCGTTTATTATTCCTCCTTAATCCGAGTAACCGTAGCTTTCTCCAATACTGTTTTGTATTTGGATCTAATTCTTCTAAAGTAGGCGGAGGACCAGTTCGAAGAGTCCATAACCAATCAGGGTACTCAGAATCTGGCTTTATTTTGACATCCTCTCCTCCTTCCTTGTAAAGATTTGTACCACACACATAAGTCAGGAGTCTGTTAACATCTGTTTCCACAGGTAATATTTTTTTTCTGTTGCAATCGTTATTTTCTTTGTCTTTTTCATTCCTGACTGGATTACTATAAAAAGAAAATATTATTGTAAATTGCATATTTGTGTAATCTAAATATATTATAACATTGTGTATAATATTAGATACAATTAAATAATTAATTATAATAGTTAAAATTAATAAATATTTATTGTCAATCTTTTTGAAACTTTGATGTAACAATAATTATTTTACCTGGTTTAGCATAATCTTTAGTTTGTATTGCATATTGAATTGGTATTATAGAATTTTTTGGAAAACGAAAAAGCCTATAAACTGCAGAAAAATTCATTCTGAATAATATTTTTACTTTCTATATAGGTTAAGTTAAAACACAAAATTTTAGGAATGGAAGCGCCGAAAGCGCCATCTCTACATTTTTTCCCGAACTACACAGATCAAGAAAAAGATAACATTTAAAAAATTCCCTAGAATCATCTAGTTCTTTTTCTCTCGCGAAAACGGTGACAACTTTATACTGCGATTTTAAAATTCCCTAGAGAAGCGTCTAGTTCTTTTCTCTAGTCGTAAGAACGCGAAAAAGATGACAACTTTATACTGCGATTTAAAAAATTCCCTTTGTCATATGACATATGTATAAACACGAATGCGCAATGACAAACAAGAAATATTATTTCTATCGACATTTTAGCTCGAGTTGTCTTGTAACTAATAATCTTAGATTATATTACGAAGATGCGAAATGCTTTTGAATAAGATATAATATATATCATTCCATTGATGGGTTAATTACATTTTTATGCTCGGTTATGTAATGCCATTAGGCAACAATACTACAACACGAGTAAAAATCATATTTTGGAATAATTAGAAATAATTAAATTTTAATATTCATAGCGATCTATAAGCTTGATTTCTTACAGACGAAAAAGTATCATTTGATGTAAAAGGTAAATCGACTATTCGAGGTAACATTCCAGAGGAAAATCAGTTTTTAACTATAGCAGCTGCTTTACCAATTTTACCTGGTGCACCAATTCCTCCCAAGTTATCAAAACGTTCTTACAGTTCACTTAGGTAATTAACGACAAAAATAGTCTTTAATATAAATTATCTAAAGTATTCTTATAGCCAAAATTATGATTTGACAGTTCTAGTGGAACTCAATTTGAGATTGAACATGCAGGAACTGAAGGGTGTGATGTGGTTACGTTACAATGGACAGGAGAAACAAAAACAATTGTGGCATCGAGAACTCCTGCCGAAAGAGAAAAGAACCCTGACAGAATATGTCTTGATAGGCGAGGTTTGACAACATTTCCTAATGTGATTGGGGAACCAAAATTGCGATTAATGTCTCTTCAGCACAATCTTTTGACTAAGATTGAGAGTTCTAATTTTTCTCAATTGATAAAACTTGTATTTCTTGATCTATATGATAATCAAATTGAGAAAGTATGCAATCTTGGGCTTTTGGAAAATCTAAGAGTGCTTTTAATAGGAAAAAACAGAATTAAAAAAATTGAAGGTTTAAAACAACTTTTTAAACTAGAAGTTTTAGACTTACATGGCAATCAAATTCAACAAATAACTGGCCTGGAGGATTTGTTATTACTAAAAGTACTCAACTTAGCAGGGAATAATATTAAAACTATTGGTTGTAATGACTTTCAAGGCTTAACTGCATTAAAAGAGCTGAATTTGCGACGAAATAAATTAAAAAGATTATTAGGATTTGGTGAAACACCACAATTACAAAAATTATATTTGAGCAACAATGATATTTATAAGTAAGTGATTTTAAAGATAATTATATATAATTAATAGTTTTATTAAATTCACTTTTATATTTATTTTATATTTTTATATATTTATGTTTATAAGTTTTATTTTTGCATTAGTCACACTTTTGTATCTAAATTTAATATATACTGTATAAGAAAGTTTCTATTTCATATTGTTTCTCCAACTTTTCCTTTTTTTATAATGCAACTAAAAAAATTTTAAATATAAAGTAAATCTTAGAAAAATTATCTAAATTATATTCTACACATATACATATTTGTTTTAAATGTAAGATATTTAGATTTTTTACAGTTACATATGCATAATATTATGGTATTTTATTTTTTACAGTTACATATGCATAATATTATGGTATTTTAATGTTTTAGAATCGAAGATATGAGTAGCCTTGCAAAAGCTTTGCAAATTAGAGAAATAACAATAGATGGCAATCCGGTAACTTTAAATAGTGATTATATATCTTTCCTTGTATCATATTTGCCAAATCTGCAACTTTTATCAACGATGCAAATTAGTGAACAAATTCGGAGAACAGCGATGGCTTGGAGATTCTCTAAAGAGCAGTCTAATTCGGCATTTCTTGATCTTAGTGCACAGGTTTGCATGAACGTACGTAGAGAAGAAGTGATATCAAATGCTAAAACAAATTGGGAACTTCTCCGATCGAGAAGCAAGGTTTCCGTTGATAATTCCAATAAAACGCCGAGCAATAATACAGGCAACAACATTAATGTACTACGTATACAAAGTTCTAATAAATTTCACGCTGTAAATCCGAAGAATTTAGACAAAGCTAAAATAAAAGGCTTTGGTAGTCTAACATCGATAAATGAAAATGTGGAAGCAAAAAAGATACATATTAAAAAGAGAAGCAGTTCCAGCGATAATTTATTTAAATTAGAGGATACATCTAAATCATATCCTTTGGAATTTAAACTTCCACCCATATTAGGTTCGATAGTAGATAGTTTGACTAGTAATAAATTTGAGGATAAATTGTCCAAAGAAGAAAATATTCGTAAAACGAAAATACTTGGTGACATCGAGGACACATCGGATAGCGAGTCAGACAGTTTAGAAAGTCATGAAAGTTTAAAAAGTGGTTTAAGATGTCACCTATTTACTCCTAACAATTGCTTGTCTATAGATGACAAGTCTACTATTTGTAAAAAACTGCCTGTAACAAAAGATGTATCTTCGATTACTGCAGAAAATTTTAATGAAGATAATGAAAATCATATACATGATAAGACAAGTCTTACTACTCCAAAATTGTTAAAATGCAATACAATAAATGAAAATAAAAACTTAAATAACAGATTGGTTCAAAATATGAAAGTATTTAATAATCAAGATGGGCAGAGCGATAGCCAATCAAAATCAACTATAAGCTCTTCTGGCTATTGCTCCTTAAGTTCAAAGACTAGTAGTTTAGATAGTTGTAAGTCATTACTAAGTGATTCTAGCACTTCATCGATACCTAAGAATGTAGTTCACAAATCTCAAGAGTCCGATAAAGATAAAATTAGTAGAATTAAAAGTGCTCAAGCAAAGAAAGTAGTATATTACAAAAGCAATAGAGCTGCGACGGCTAGAGCGAAATTTAGAACCCTTGTTCCACCGAGTCCACCTCCTCAACAAGTACCACCTAAAGAGAGGGAACAAGGTAGGTTGTTAAAAACAATTTTTTAGTTCTCTAACATACATTTGTTTAAAATGTAATACTAAATAGAATATTCTTCTAGGCGGAGATTATTTAATAGAAATTGTCGGTCGATGCTTAAATATTTATGGTCAAGGTGCTTTACGCTTTATAGATAAGACTTGGGACGTGTCAAAAGCTCAGGATGTCAACGTCGTAAAGTTTAATTATGTACAATTTAACGATGTGGCAAAAATTTTAAGCAAGTTAAAAAACAAGTTTCCTTATGTGGAACATTTCACCTTTAAAGAAACTAATATCAGTCTTCTTGGCCAATTGAATGCTTTAGCCGAAGTACAGGGATTGACCAGTATACAGATAGATACAGGGAATCCTGTTGTGTCTAAGGATTGGAAAATGTATGCTATATTTCGATTAGCTCATTGGGGACTTGCAATGATCAATGGCAAAGAGGTATAATAAAAATATTTACATATTTTTAAATATATATGCTTATTTTCTGTTTTACAATAATTAAAATTTAATTTTTATTTTTACAGATTACAGCAGAAGAGATAGAACTTGCAAATAAGGAGTATGCTGGTCTTATAGATATAGTAATGTGTTCACTGCCAGATTCTTTATTACAACCTTTATTACAAAGACTTCATTTAGAAAAAGTGCAAAGGCAAAGCGGGCAACAGATTACTGCCAAACAATTTCTGTTCAATTGTGATCCGGCACTTAGAAGCGTTGTTGCTAAGGAAGCGTTACAATGGAGAAAGGGAAATGTAACGCAAGTAAGAAAAACACATATGTCGCTATTCTTTATATAATAAGATTCTTTATCCTAATTTTTACAAGTTAAAATATGTATATATTTGTATATAAACGTTAGGATTGGACATTTAAAAATTAGACTTTTAAAATTTATAGGAAGATCTTATCTGGAGACACAAAGGAAAAATGCACTTGCTAAATTTAATCAACCTAACTATAAATGCTATACAAAAGTTACAAGTTCTAGAGAAGCAGTGGCCATGTATTTTATATGAAATTGTTTATAATACTTTATCCGATTTTTCTGAAATGGATGTATACATGAAACGTTGCAGCAAAAAGCTTGAAAGCAATAAGTAATATCATATATGTGCCTTAAAATAATATCGTATCTATTGCGATATCACGTAATTTATAATTTTTGATTGACAATACGCAAAATCGTTATTTAGTTCAGCTTGACCATATCAAAAAGATATGAAACGTACATATACAATAAACAATTTTGCGTTGTTAATGCTATGAATATATTTAATATGTTTGCTAGAGTTGGTATTTATATATAAAACAATAAATTCTATATAAATATTGTTAAAATTTTCTTTTATATATAGCCTTTATATATATATATATGGTAAAAAAAGAGATACACATTATAATATACATTATAATATGTTAGAGAACCGAATCAAACACGACCGATTGCTTAAATAATTTCCACAATTATTTGATTTGTATGTATGTATTTTTATCATCGCGATTAACCGTTTGAGTAACAAATAACAAGATTGCTTCTTCAATTTTGTGCAAAATCTAACATATTCAATATTATACAGTATTATTATAAATGCATCTTATTAACATCGAATCGGAAAATCTATTAGCTTTTCCGTTACTCAAACGATTAAAATACGCATATCGAGATATCATTTTGTACCGATAATAGATTCCACACTAAAAGAAATTGGTGCTTTTTTTTCTAAACAGGGTTCATTGTTTGTAGTAGGACATTCCTGCAAATCTCTCGTAGAAATAAAATTATTCAAATCCCCATTCGCTATATACGATTGCGTTACTTCATTGAACCAAGGAATTGTTGGATACGCAGAATGGAAAGATTGCACTTTCAATGTGGGTTCAGCTTCTTGTTTCTGATCGCATCCGAGAGAGGATAAAGTCAACAAACGCGGATGCGTTGATACTGAAATGTACAATTTTTTGTAAGTAATTATAAAGATATTATTTATAATGTCCATCAACAATATATATACATATCAAAAGAAATTTACAAACATTATTAAATTGTTATATATATGATTATGTAACAATTTAATAATAAATTAAATAAGATGTAAAAAGATAAAGAGAACGAATATGTAAAATTATATGAAAAACTTATGACATATTGTAATATTTATATTTGAATATGAACAATTTAAAATACAATTTAAAACAATATAATATTATCAATTAAAACTGTATATTAAACTATATATATATATATATATAAAATTTATAGAATCTTTGGAAAGCATTTAACAAATACATTGTACATACACGCTGTATTATAAAAGTATTAGTATATAAAGTATAAGTACATATACGTGTATTATAAAAGCGCGTATATAATGAAGAAGTGTAAACTTTTTTGGATGCTTACTAACTGTTGAATCTCTGCATAATTGAGATGCCTATTAAATTTTTATTAATATATAAAATTCGATTAAGTTTGTCAGATATGTTTATAAATAGCCTAATATATTTGAAATATTACTTATACGCGTATATCGATATATATCGATATGGATATCGATGTATCAATAATTTGAAAATTTGAATTTAAAAACTTAATTTTCAGCGAAATTAAATGTAGAAAATTTACAAAAATATCGATGAAAATGAGTATATATAAGTACTTACACGTGTTAGGCAAATTATGTACGGCATTTAATCCGTAGAAACCCTGCGTCACGCTGATACTCGTCTGCGTGAAATGTAAATGATGCCTTTGAAAATTCTTGGCTCTCCTACCAAGGCAGGCAGCGTCCGGCTCGTCGTATTTCGCTTTAATATAATAAGGAGGATTTGCGATGTCTGTTGATACTTTATTCGCCGAAGATAGATGAAGATTGTCACCTTGCGCTTGTTGTTGTCTGCGTAGAGCAACTTGCGCTGCCATCACTCGCTGTCTTTCGACGACTAACAAACAACAGGGGCATCGGCAATCCTTCCACGCGCAGGATCTCTTGTGACCCTTCAAACCGGATATTACACCATGGTTTCGACATCTCGCGCACTTCGGACTTCTTAAACGTTGCTCTATGTTCGGATTTAAGCGTTGATTTGAAGTATCTCCGCCAGTTTTCATCCTGATTTTTTATCTCTCGAATGACATAGATATTTAATTGAAGTAAGTTATTGTATATCAGTTTTAATTGAAAATTATTTTACTAACAATTGACGAAGAACATTATTGAATTCAGATTTTGTGCTCGATTGTTTGCAGTTTTCCAAATAGTAAAATGAATTTTGTACACATTGTTGTTTTGCGCGAATCTTTCTCTTGTATAGTTTTGTTTCATTAACTATCCCCGATTAGATCGTAACGAGACACATGATTTCTTGATTCAAGTTAATTGTAGTTTATTATATCCGTTCAACTCTTCTCGGATGAGTCGACTGAGTTACCGCGACGTCCTACCCTAGAAGAGATATATACTTGTAAGAATATTTCTTGTATCTCTCCGTAAAAGAGGTGTGTTGTCTCATCTCCTCCTACTGATTCAAAATATATTTTTAGAAGGCCGATGTGTTTCCATTGGCTCGAAAGCTCAAGAAACCCCGCCGCTTTCGCCGGCTGTGAACCAATGGACCACCATGTTTCTCTTCGTCTTCTTGTTATGAGTAACTGTACGAAAGAAAAATCCTTCGTTAGCAGACTATCTTCTTTGATTAGAGTCTGCATAATGGAAACATATCGATGATTCGTTAGATTTGAAGACTGGCACGTGTACACACGTGAAACAAAGTTCAATTGGAGAATTAATTAATTTTAAATGATAAGAAGCTATTAATTCTTCAAGTTTGTCATCTTTCGCACAATTATTTGGAAAAGGCTGCAATCGCACACAATATCTTTTTTTATTCTGAAATAACAATCTTTAAATTTAATTTAAATTGCTATTTAATCTTATTCATTTTATTATATATATATTTATTTATTATATTTTCGTATGTTATTAATTTATTCTTGTCGAAAAAGTATTTTTTGTTCAATTTTGTTCGGAGAGAAAAGTGGCAATCAATACAGTGTCATGCAAAGCGATGTAAAAGATTCTTTTAGAAATGACATTAAGTATGCAGGATGTTACCCAGGTGGTTATCGAGGAAGACTCCGGTGGAAGTCGGCGGTGTCATTCATACATTGAGAAAACATACTCGAAACTAATATTAACTGTGTGTTGGCAACATCCGAGAGGATCGTATTAACGAGCTCTTAGAGCAAGATCACAGAAAGAATGCCATATGGTTGCAGCTGCTGGCGTGCAACGTTGTTGGTAGAACGAGATTGTCTGCTCTTTTCTATTTTTGCGATGAACAACACGATGTGTGAATAAAAGAGAAAACGAAGAAAAGATTATTACACTATATAATTTCGATCATGACAGCTAATTTTTTTCACGTTATTTTTTTTTTACTTTCTCGTGCAGTTAGACAGGTTTAAATTTACATATGCCAGAGCAAGCACGCGTGACACGTGACCGAGGAATTCATCCTAATGAGCGTGGAACGAAGGGGTGTCATCTCGTGGACGCTTTTTCCTCTTTCCTTCGTTCCTGGACAGTTCAGCCCCAGGGTGTTGTCAAGACGGCAAATATGTTGACAGGTCATTCAACATCTTTCTCGCCTTAGTCTCGGCTTAGAAGAGATTACGAAGAAGCTTTGCGACGCGATGTTACGCCTCCAAATATCCATAAGTCGACATCACTAACTTATACTATTCCTTCGAAGACATCAACCCTTCGAAATAATCGAATAGAAAATATAAATGGCACAGTTGGTTTTAATATAAAATACTTACAAGTTTTTTTATATAAATGTTCTCTTTTCTTATAAATATGAATAAATTAAGATTTAATATATAGTTTCTTTGCTTTTTTCCTTTTAGTTTAAAAAATTGAAAATTGTAAGCATGCAACACGCGATGACTTTGTACCAAATTTTTGTTATTTATTATACATTCGTATACTGTAAAGTACATCAAATAAATCATCAGTCTACAAAAAGCGAATAAATTAGATAGCGCGTGAAATTTTGCAAGATTTTTGACACGTGTTGAAAGGCAAATTTATCATTTGTTTTCGTATACGCGCTTCGTTTAACCGCTTTATACATAACATTATTAAAAAATTAAAATATTAATAGTCTGGTTTAAATATCGGAAAAAGTGAAGCGAATTGAGTTATTGAATTGATTCGATGACTTGGGATATTCGCGATGTCGCACTGCATGACCAATTTTGCTTGGTACCTTGGAAAATTCATTATCGGTTTTACCGGGATACTGTTCCTATACGTCGGTTTCTTGAAAGAAAAGTGAGCGTCTTTAACATATGGGGCCGGACCAAACCAAAACGACGAATAATGATGTCAGAAATAATCCTGTTTTTGTCCGACAGTGAGAAAAGTTGTGTGTGCGACGCCAGAATGAGAGAATTACTAAGGCAGGAAAGCGAAAAGTGAGTCACTCTGATCATACACGCGTGTCTTCCTCTTAAAGAGCTTTTATTTTTTTATTTCAGTCAAAACAAATTATTTCTTAAGGAATATGTCTAGCATGCACATGTCATGCAATCTAAAAAGCATGTAATAAGTACTAAGCGCCGAAAAGTATTGAAATCATATATACTCGATAAAAAGACAATTATTATGCATTGATATATTATAATTACGACATTAAAATTAATACATAATTATTAATTTCTATGCATTAGACGACCGGACAGATGCGGATGTGCGAAGGGGTAAGTTGAAATGCAATTCCTTAACACTGCTAATTTGAATAAAGTACTACTGTTTGTCTATAAATAAAAATTAGCATTAAGAAAATAAGAAAAATTTATAGGCAAAAATCAATTATAAATTCAAATACTTATATCAATTGAATACATTCTTAAATATTTAATTTTTAAGGATTTCTCTTATTATATCGCTTTCTTTTACTTTTTCTCATACTTTATAATCTTAAATGGAAAAGTAGATTTGTACCATTATTAAACTCATTTATATTTTCTTGCCCAATATAGGATGCGAAATCGTTATCCATGTGGATGCAACAAGCCAATGCGATTGTAAGTTTTTATTGGTTTTAATTAATTAATTAATTTTAATTAAATGTAGAGATTAATATGTATATATATATATGTTTTAATGTAAGACACTCTTAATCAGAATTATTGATGTGTGTATGATTATATCGATTATATAAACTTAATAATTTTGTAACAGGTTGCAAGATGATGATTGTATGGTACCGGTGATTGCAAATAAATATAACAACCATTGTGCAAAAAGTCGATGTTGTATGAGAAGAAATTCGAACTAAAAAAAGGAAAACGGTAACGACAGCCTTTTATGCGATGCGTATTATTGTAAGATCTCATCTAAAACAGGTAATCATTTCTTTCTTCTATAGCGGAACACTTTTATGATTCATTTAACCATCATTAATGCATTGAAGAATAAATGCAGGAAATTATATGAAAACAAAATAGAAAATTGCTTACAATTAAAAATTCTATTTATACATTTTTATCACATTTATTGATTGTAAGGAAATGTTAAATATGTCTTAATATACAGATTCTATTTAAAAAAAACAAAAAAACGTAAAAAGGACAATATCTTAAACAAATATTTTAAAGCTGATACTTATGTATGCAAATTTGCTTTTAAAAATAAGAGTCATATTCTCATATGTGGCGCTTTCTTTTTCTACATATATAAGTGTATATAAGCCATGTATATTTCAATTAGAACAATCTGCCGAATTATATATATATATATATATATATATATATATATATATATATACCAATGATTTGTGGGGCATGAATCGTGTTGTCATTATACGTATCTTGCCATCATGCGTTATCATGCCATTAAGCGTATGATAGACAACGGTTACGAGTAACTCTACATATAATTGGCAACTGGCGGGTTAGAGAGATTCTATGAATAAATTCGACATACTGTAAAAGTGACACGCCTGGTCGCACGCTCCGAAAATCTGAAACTCGATTAATACGCGTCCCATCTGTAGGTGAAGAGTCTATAAGTAGATCTTGCGCGGGCAGAACGTCAGTCATATTCATATATTATTTATACTGACCTGACTAGAGACACCTCCTCGTTGCTAACGAGATGGATGCTTGGCCTAGCTGATGCGTGTACAATATATATATTTTCAATCACGTGAATTCGGGATTCTTTTAGCAGGTCCTATATAGATTGAACAAAATAAAGCATGAAGTAAAATTAAAAAAAAATACATTTAAAATACATTGAAATCATTATGAATATCTCACGTATTAGACTAATATAATGATTTTTGGAATATAAAAGAATTTATGAAAAAATAACAAGAGGAAATTTAAGATAAAATAAAATATCAATGATGAATATATCTTTCGCTCGTAATTTTACGGTATGCATATCTCGAATCTTTCCGCGATCTTTCCGCGTTAATCTACGTGAGATCTCTCTGAATGGCAGGCTTTGTAAGAGAGGAACGTCGCAGCTGCGTCTCTTTCGCTTCGTATTTTGCGCGCATTCCGATGAAATAAAACGAGATGGGCAAGGGTGGCGGTCCGAGTCAAGAAGAAATATTTCGAAATGGGAAGATGTTAAATGAGCGAACTGTCCGACTGTCACTCCGCCTAGTACCTAGTTTCTCAGTGCTTCACGAAAATGTGAGTTGAAACGATTCCATGAATACGTCGTAAGTTTCTGTCGAAAATACACATGTAACATTTCTTAGTATTATGAAACTCTTTTTCACTATCTTTATTTTTACATATACGTGTAGTTTAAATACATCTAATAATCGATCAGATAGTCTGTAATATCACATATTCGACCATTTCGGAAACATTCCTCGATCCATTTACATTTAACAATTTTCACAGACGTTAAATTATGTACTTTCAAATTTTCCACAATATTATTTGATTTATCATCCTCTACGAATATATGCGAAACGGAATTATCAATATTATCTTTAATCGTACCTGACATGAAACGGAATTTAAATTTAGTGCAACATGATTGATTTTCGAAGAATCCAATTATATCTCTAAACAGTGAATAGGGCGACGCATTTCCGTTGAACAATTCCTTGTCCATTTCTTTCCTCTGCTCAACGGTAAACTGATCCGCAAGCTGAAGATGATTTATACAAAATTAGATTAGTACGATAATGTACAATTATTTTTAGTGACAAATATTTTGAATGATGAAAATTACCGAATTCGCAATCTTGTCGAACGAACGTTTCAAAGTCTCTTCATCCGCGTTAACAATAAAATTATCATAATATTCATCGTAGTTCGCCTCAAGTCGACGCTTAGTTATGTCTCGACTACATAATAATTCCCACGGCAAAAAATCTCCCAACGAGGACAAATCAGATTGATTAGTAACGCGTTTAAACCAATCCAAAGTTACAACGTCGTATTTTCCACTATTTATTACTTCCTTCCCTCGTATCTGAAACAGATAGTTTACGCGTAACTTTGTCTTAATTCATTACGAGACATTATTAAAATCTAAATTGATATTACAACTTACAGTTCTATTATTGCCTACTATTACGCAAAAAGTTGTATTCATTGGATTCTGAACAATTCTTGCGCTATGCTGCTGCAGTGTCTCCTCAATTTGCTCCTTCGCTAATTCATCGGTACCGTTTATTACACAAATTTCCTTTCCATCTAATAGTCGTGTGAGCGGTACTATTCGTTCAGGGAACACATGTTCAATTAATTTATTACGACTTACTGTCCTTTGCAATTTAAGTATCGGTGCGTCGTCCACATCGCTCAAAGTAGCTTCTCGCTTGGTTAATTTTTGGATCATTCCCTTGTTCTATAATAATCAAATTATCGTAAATTGTAAGCGTATTATAAATGATAATATAATAATTATTTCACGCGTATAATTGTCATTGTCTAGCACTATATATACGTACTTTGACTAATAATAAAAGTTCAGAACTGGTACATGGACTGTACCATGGCTTATCCTTCCTGATATTTACAACTCTAGGAAAACGCAAGCTATATCCAATCGGATATTCATTACTGCGTATCATTTCGGTTGCTCGTATTGTCAAAATTATAGAATCTTTCGGATGGATCCACACATCCGGCTGTTTTCCCTAAGAAATATATTTAAATAAAATGCATATATAACAGAAATAAATAATACTGTAAAATGTAACGAAAAGTAAAGTTGATATATTAAGCACATGATAATATCGAAAAAATACCTGACCAGAATAATATACATATATAAAATAATATATAATAATTAATTTACCCTAGGACCAGTGATATTTTCAGGACATTCTTTGGTCCAATGTGATGCAAATTTTGTTTGAAGATCATGGAGCATTTTGTCGCTTATTCCAGAGCTTACGGATACTACAGCAAAAAATCGCGATGGATTTTCTTCTTCGTTGCTTGTTGGAGCAGCAACGCCCATCATAAAGCTTTTAATTATTCCGGTATATTTGCCTTCTCCGTAGTAACCGCCAAGTATAATCAGATCTATATCTTGTATCAAACTGTCCGAATACTACATACAAAGATGTATATGTTTTAATTGTCACCTTTAGATTTTATCCATAGTCTATTACACGTCGATTATAAATTTTTTGGTGCACATTTTCTTCGCAAAAATTAGACGAAAAGACATGTGACGTGTATTACATAAATTTTCAATATTTTATTTTCTAAACATGCAACTTTATAGTAAATTAAATTTCTTTTAAAAGATTTATAATGACAAAAATTGATATGTGTTTTACCTCTGCTTTAATCTTATAACAACCGCCACCATCTCGGACATTTGGTTTATATTTCATATCATATTTCTTTATAACAAGTCCTTCTTCGTCATTACGGAGGCATTCATTAAATGCCTCTATCAATTCCTCCCTTACGGAGAAAGAAATACAATAATTGTTTAATTTTCGATTTTTGTTGATTTTTTATGATAGATTTAAAAGCATGTGATATATTTGTATTTAATCAAAATTACTCGAACTCAAAAACTTATTTGTTACATTAAATTACATCTGATATATAGAAGCCATCAATTTTTTTCGGAAAAAAGTATTTTATAATTACAAAAAGGATTAATTAAAAAATAAAAAATAAATCTATTTATATTCAGTAATTTTCAAACGATAGACATAAAATATCTTACCTATTCGAAATTAAAGAAAACGGACATACAAGTAAGGAACCTTCTTCTGCGGTGAATATATCATCGAGTAGTTTTAATCGATCTTTGTAAGGCTTATCAACAAGTAAAATGTCATTATGTAGAATAACATCGAATGCAACGAAACACGGTTGATGATGACTACTCTCTGACAAATTCTTAACGTCGAAATTCATACCTTTCGTGCCAAATGTTCTTTTTTCTTTATGCCAACCCATTAATTCTCCATCCAATATAAAAGAATGACAATTCGGATTTAAACGCCGTGTAAATACACTGGTCAAGAAACCTAGACAAATATTGAAAATTGCACTTTTAAAAATAAATTATATTTTATATATTTACGTACATTCTCTGAGATGTAGCGATTCAAGAAAATTACATGAGCCTATGATTAATTTATTTTTAACATTTGATTTATCATACCCGACGATCCGGTTTCTCCATATCCAGAATTTTTTGTAATATCATATCCTCTACGAGTAAAATATTTGAACTTTCCATCTTTCATATGAAGTTGTGATCTTTCGCCATCGTATTTAGTTTGTACATAGTATAAGCCATTATCCCGAAATAGCTTTTCGATATTCTTGATGTCACATCTCTCTAGGAGCATCGGTTTGAAGTGCGAAAATATTTGTATGCCGCATTTTATTTTCGTATTAGGATCGTGCAACTGGTTGCAAATCTCACGCAAATCATTCGTCACGAGAAACTTTTCATTCGCATCTTGATGATAAACTTGAAAAGAACAAATCAATTAGTTCTTACAATTATTGCGATATATTTATTTGTATTATTAAAACATTACGGACTGTGCAATATTCTTTTCGTTCCTATACCAAGTCGTAGATCCTTAAGTACGATTCGTGTTACCCATTTCATTTCGAATCCTGTGATATGTCGAAAAAGTACTCTAAACGTTTCAATTTTTTGTGACATTGTCGCATCTTTCTTCGATATATCATCGAGAAATATATTCATCTGCGCAATCGTGAATCCAGTACTTGTTTTGGGTAATCTTTTATCTAATACCTGATAAGCTCGATCAGCGAAATCATTTCTCATAAATTTGCCTGGCATAGGCTCTCTAAAATATAACAATTATATTTTTGACAAAATTTAAAACAAAAGGGATTATAATTTTTTTTATATATTGTACACGTGTTACATTAATTCTCGTTCACTTGTAAAATATTTTATTCTAAATTCGAGCTTTACTTTAGACATATATTTAATATTTAATAAAAGCGCAATTTATCCTGTTGATCATCTATATAACACAGTCATGATACTGACCGATAATTTTCCAGCTTTTTATAATTGTCGCTGTTTTTTACAAAACCATATACACGAGCGTAAAGTCTTGCTAATGAAACTTGTTTCAGATTATGTGGTCCACGCTCTCGTTCAAGATCAGGTAATATTAATCTTAATATTGGATATAGCGAAACATCCTGAGACAAAATAAAATTAAAATTATGTATAATTGTACCGTCAACCATTTTGAAAAATTATAGAATGTAGAAAAGAATATCTTGAAGATATTCTTATATATTTAAATTTACTCATATTATTTGAGATTGTCAGAAATTATTAACACAAGTTTTAACAATATTTCTCGTCGCAATTAGAATCTCTTCATACATTAGAATTTATTTTTATAATAATTTTTCTAAAAGTTCTTACAAATAAATATTCTTATATCATATACACAAACTACATATATTGTCTTTCCTTTATAATATATTATTTTAATGGCATAATTACATACCGATTCAGGATATTCAGTTTTCAGTTTGTTGCCAATCTTTCGACAATTGTCAATAAATGTTTCTAAGATTTGCCCTTTCTTTTCTATTCCTTGTACTTTTATAGCATTTTCCAAGGTATCACACAATTGTTTAAATTCAATTTTAACATCTAAACTAGTAGCCATTATCCTAAAGAAGAATATTTAAGTTAGCTAGATTTTGATGTAGTATATACATATATTTCATGAGCGCATGAAAAGAAATTATATGTTATTACAATCACATGTAGCAATAACAAAGATATGTTGAAAAATATTGGAAATATTGAAAAAAATGAAAAATTTTAGATATTCTTTTTACATCATATGACAGTATATTATTAAATTATCATAAATAAATTAGTATAAAGTATATATTACGTACAGTATTAGTAGTAAACGTAGGAATATTCTATATCACATGTAGATTCAGATTTTACATTTTTTATTTAAATAGTGATATAATTTTCAAGATACATTCTAGCAAGAAGATGATTTTCCGATTGCAGATAGATAAGATGTAAATTGAAAGCTGCTTCCTTTTTTAAGTCCAAAAGATTTGCATGCTGCTTAACTATATCTCCCGGATCTTCTTCCAGAACTAATTTATAGAAGTGAATTGCAGATGGTAATAAACCAATTTGATGAAATGCTCGTGCCATGTTGTAATAAGTTTCCTGTTTACCATCTTCCCCACGTAGTTGCATATACTTTTTGAAAAAGGCTAGTGCTAAATAAAAAAAATTTCTTTGAAAAAATATATATTACAATCGTATATATTATTACATTACTTGTTAATATATTAATCTATTATTTATAAAATTATTTGTATATATTATTTGTGCTATTATTTGTAAAAAATCAGTATTCTTATCTTATTAATTGGAATTTTATTTTATCAGATTCTTTATATCGATTTAAATAATTATGATAATCTACTTTTCTGTATTTTATATATGCATGCGTGTGTGTATATATGTAGTCTTTTACCTTGAATTACAAGTTGATTTTTCTTAGCTGACATTTTTTGACATGCCATTTGTAATTGCGTAATACCTATTAACAATGCTAACAATGCACTAGGTGCCACCTTGAAGAGGGAAATATAACCGTTCAATGCATATTTGTATGTTCCTGAGACAAGACAATTATTTGCATGCATGATATGCAAATACGAAAATACATCTCTTCCAAGTAATCGCATTATGAATCTGTTATGCCTCAAATCTTGGGCTTTTTGAATAATTATATTTAATAAATTCCACGAGTTGGATCTCTGACAGACACGTACAATGTCTCTCACGATATTGTATCCGTAGAATGAATCTTCATTATGTATGCAAGAGATTAAACATAGGAAAATTAGATAGGAGTTTTTCTTTTTAAACTTCTTGGTTGTCAAAACGGTGAAACATATTCTTTGAAGAAAACCATATTTTTTAAATTTATATGCTAGTTCGCACATTTGTAGAAAAAGTTGATATTCATTTTTTTCACTCAGTTTTGTACTATCAGTAAATATGGGAGCGTTTTCATCCTCTAATGTTTCTCCGGATGCTAAACGACGAAGTTTTAAACTCTCAAGGCGTTGCCGAACACCCGTTGGACGTGCCAGTGCATTTAATTCAATCCTTCTTCTTATATTAACACAATGCCTTGAAATAAGTAACATTCCTGACGAGAAATATTCTTCGTATCTTCCAACTTTATAAAGTAATAATGTTCTTTGATATATAACATCAGGATCTAATGTATCAGATTCAGGATCTTGATAGAGAACTTCTATTGCTTTGTCATAATGTTTTGCTTCTGTATAAAGTTTAGCTAGAGCTAATTTTCCGCCTAAATGCTGTGGTGATAATTTTCGGACAATTTCGTAAGATTTTATGGCTTTATTCATGTCATTGCAACCAACCCAACATTCTGCATGCCTTAGCCAAACTGCAGCCAAACTATAATTCGAACTTTCAACTAATGGATCCAATAAAACTAATGCACGCTGAAATTCTTGCTTATCCATTAATGCTTCTGCCAAATCTAGAAAAAGATCTCCAGAAATTTCTGGATTCTCATATGTGTAAAATTTAGGTAAAAGTTTATCAGCTATGTGAATGTAATTCAATTCGATAAGAACTATAAGAAATTTGGCTTTTAAATCCACAGCTACATCATCCGGTACATCACAAGATTCTATTTCATCGATATTTTGGCTTTTTACTGGAGACATAACTTTTTTTCAAATTACTCAATTTCTCTTCATCTTCAGACTTTGTGCAATTAGTAATTTCTTCTCGTACTGTTTCCTTATTATCCTTATATCTTATTTGAATATCTGTATATTTGACTAATATATCTAAACATCTATTGAATTGTTTCAATGCTATTAACAATTCAGTCATAATATTAACTTCTTCTAATGTAATAAAATCAGGACATTTAACAAAAATGGTCTCCATTGCTTCTAATGCTTGTTCGTTGTTATTTTCATGCATATAATGTTTGGCTAACATTTTTGCATATTTTAATATATATTCACCATCATCAGCTTCCAATTGATGAATCAATCTTGCATATCCTCGCCACTTTGATTTTTTGTCTCCATTTTTATCATAAAGTTGTGCTCGCATCTCATATAAACTTATGTCTTTTGGATTCCCTTTAATTGCTTTAGAGTAACATGTTATCGCTTGTTTTATATGACCAATATCTTGTGAAATGCTAGCTAATCTTGTCCATTCATCAGCATCTATAGGACTAAGATGTGCAGCAATTAAAGCAAATTGTAGTGATTTTTCTGGTTGATCATTTTCATATATCATAGCTAAGGTTTGAAATGGTTCTGGAGCACTTGGTACTTGTCTAAAAAAAATTAGTAAATGTTTAATATTCTTTCACAAGCTTTTGTAATGTGAAAGAGAGAGAAATGTATTATTAATATAATACATATACATATTAACAATAAACATTAGATCGTATTTGTATATTAGAAACACTTGCCTAATGATTTCCATACATAGTTTGGTTGCTAAATCTATTTCTCCTTTGGCAAATCTTAAATTTGCTTCACCCATAAGTCCTTGTAAAACTTGTGGCAAAATACGCCTTTTCCTCCTCTGACGTACTTGTTGCACATTATTTGCTTTGCATGTTTTTTGTTCTGCAGTTTTTTGTACAATAACACGATCTATTTCGATATTCTTTCTAAAAATAGAATTAAAGATAATTTTGCAATTTTACCACAATATTTCTTTCGAGTCATACCTAGAGTTTTCATTTTCTACTGTTTCTACATCTATATCTTTATCCATTCTTGATGAATATTCACTAAATGTTAATTCTCCATTTAAAAACTGCTTTGTTAATCGATCTTCCTCATCTGCAGTTAATAACATATCCTGATCTTCTGTATCTATAATATCCTTATTGGAACTACATGATGGAGGTGTATAATTTGAAATAACATCTTTAACTTCTTGTATCCGTAATGCTTTAGCTTCAACAAATTCATTGATATCCACATCCATTGAATTAATAGCGTTTTCATCCAATTCTTCAATTATCACTGGTGCTACAGTACTATTATCATTAATAATTAAACTGTCATCGACAGTGGATTTTTCAACTTCAACATCCATTGCAGTTTCTTCCATCACATCCACGTTGATAATTGCTTTGCTTGTATTACATTCCATTATCGTTTACTATATTTGATCAAACTCATGTGATAAATTTATAACATACTTATAATATTGTGTACATAAGTAAATAAACTGTTAATTATAATGGTCTAATGTTATTTAAATGAAATTAATTTTGTTATTGCTACATGTGATATATAACAGACCAGAATAAGAAATATAAATTGCAAATAAAAGTATATTTTGTCACGATTTTTTTACTTACCATAAAATTGTTGTCAATTAACGAAGTAAAAGATATATAATTTTGATTTTATGTACATATACATATAATCAAATATGAAAAATTATACAAATACGAATACAATGTAACTTCTATAACTCTTCTATTTTTTTCTTTTTATTTATTTGGGATTATTTAGGATGCTCGCGCATAGGAATATTTATCATAAAAGTCCCTAGGGTAATCAGTAACATTCCAATTGGAGAATTCCATTTTGAATTGGCCAATGACATTCTAGAAGTAGAGTGGGTTGTCTAGAATTTATGTAATTAAGGTTTATGATGTTGGGTTAGGTAGATTGGTTTGACAGTCGATCGCAGTTTGACATTTGCGTTTCGAATATTTTCATGATAAAAACGTTTGCTATTATTCCTAATTAAGATTGATTAGTGTGACAATTGGCGCAATGGAATCAGATGAGATTGAAGCACCTTCGAAATCGGGAATAAATATTCGAAGTGATAAGAACAACGTTATTGACTACGACGAAGACAGAGTAAGGTTAGAATTAATAAGTTGTGTCCAGTGTTGAACATTACGAATTTTGTGTCTGCAATAATGTAAATTGAACATATATATATATATATAAATATAGTAAGAAATATAATTTTTTACTCTTAAGTTCTCTTGAGATATACATAAAACAGCCAAAGATTAGATTTCCTACATATAAAATATTATTGATACATATTCATAAATGTTCAACACTACTTGCATTTTATTTACTTTCATTAATGGCCTAGTTTACACCGATTATTTAATACACGTGTCAAACGCCGTACTGACGAATCACAGTCATTCCTCTAAAGAATAGAATGACTATGATTGTAGTATGTCAATAGTACTTAATATGCGTATCAAAGTATATCGGTGTAAACTAGGCGAATATATATACAGGGTGTCCGGTGACTCGCGTATCATCTCTCGTAGGCAGGTAGAGCAGGCCAAATCGAGTAGAAAAGTCCTGTAGTATTTTGTGAAATTTTTAATACTTAATGAGAAATTAATTAAGAATTTCGCAAAATGGTACAGGACTTTTTTAATCGGTTTGACCTGCTCTGCTTGTCTACGAGAGGTGATATGCGAGTCACCGCACACCCTGTATAATTAATACTGTTTTTAATATTACATGTATACATGCGATAGAAACTTACATTTATTACATATTTTTAATGTTTTAGTTGCATGAGATGACAGCATCTTATTCCGAGATATCATTTGATTCACAATCTTCGCCACCTATTTCGGAATTGAGATCGCTAATTGATTCTCCAGATATCGACAGTGGAAAGTTTTTAGATGATAATCTGGAAAAATAGGTGGATCTGGTCACAGGCCGGATCAATTAAATTTGAAAAGTAGAGATGGTAGTCCAACAGAAGATGACGATCTGGACCCTCCGAGTTATCACAAAGCTATGGGTTATTTGCAATTGGAGGGAAGAGTTATGCAGGATGGAGATATGGTATTGTTTGTCACAGAGGATCTTGAAAACAAAATCAAATTGTCCAGTCCTGTAACGAAGAAAGGAGAAACTCCATCGTTTCCAGGATCTCGAAGCTCAACTCCTTGCTTATACAGGCAGGCCTTGACTCCGCAATTGCCACCTCTTGATCACAATGTATTAAACGAATTAGAAATGGAAGCTAGGAAAGTTGCAACTTCTGTGGATGCATTGACTGAAAATTTGGCCGCAATTTTACAAAACGTGAGTTATTAATTGTTTTAAACAGTACCATATGACACATTATGTAATTATATGATTATATTTAAATCATTTGTTTTCAGGCATCAGCTCTTACAGTTGGCTGTTTGGAAACCTACAGAGATGCTGTGTGTAAAACGTGTGATGCTGTAGATCACAATATAAAGTCAATGTATCAATTAATGGCTAAGTGTGAGGAACTATCAAAGTCGATGGGACCAATTTACAAGTTAGCAGAACAAATGTAAGTATTACAATATTTTCGTTTTAATTAAATTGAGATTAGTTTGTAAAGATTCTTGAATACTTTGATCATTGTATATTATGATTAGCATTTTTATTAAATTTCTTGCGAAAGCAACATGATCCTTATTTATAAAGTCAATCAATATGTCTGCATAAATTACGACTTTTGTCTATGAAAAAAGATGTTGCTTTAATCAAGTGCTAATAGTGTTCTCATAAGATGAAAGAAAAATTCAAAAGAAGAGCGAGAGAGAAAGAGAGACAGAGAAAGGAAACAGAAGAAAAACTTCTTACGTGTTTAAAAATGTCTTGCGTTAACTGTTAGTATCTCTTAGGAAAATATTGTAGCAAAGTCTAAACTTAGAATTCCTTTTTTAGTAAAAAGAAAAAAAAGAAAAAATTTCTCTTAGCGCTTCTCTCTTTCCTTTTTCTCTTTCTCTTTCTCACACATTTTTAACTTGCCTCTTGTTTGAGAATAAACGATGAACTCAACAGGGAAATCTTATTCTTCTGCTATTCTGTAAAGCGTAATTTGTATTAAGTGTAACTAATTAAGCAACAGCTGCAAAAAATCTGTTTTAATTAATTTTGTTGTATGGCGGTGAACCGCCATATTAGAGCAGTTTAAACACAAGTCTGGCCCTTCTATGTGCATATATATGTATGCAGTTTCTGCTTTGTTTGATTTTCAGCAAAGAGATGAAGAGAATGCTGGAACTATTCGAGAGCGCAATGAATGTATAATGTAAAACAGCATAAAGGAGAAAATTACTATTTTCTCGAAACATTTTTTGAAACTTGTAATTATAGAGTATGCACGCTTAATAGAGATTATATTCTGATATGTTGTGATTATTATGATTAATATCTTGCAATTTTAATATTTAAAAATTATTTTATAATATATGCATTTTTTTAGATATATACATATTTATATATATTTATATTTAAGATATTTATAAGTATATTTATTAAATAATAGTTGAGTTGAAAACATTATAGTATTATATAATTGTTGAAGAATAATTCATAAAATATGATTAGTGTTCGACATTTAATTCCACACATGTTATCATTAATTTCTTATTCTACATATTTTGTACATACGTAAAAGCAATATCATTAAATATTAAAAAGCAATCTCTTTTAATACGATTCTATTATGATTATTGTCATGGAAGAAATAAAAACATTCAAAAATATAATTTTCGTTTATAGGCTTTAAAACGTGAAAATTTATAATTTAATAACAGCAAGGATTAAAACTTTATTTAAGAAAAAGGAAGAAACATTTAAAGAACACACAACTTGGAAGGCGCGACAAAGAGGTAGAAAGAGGGAGCGAGAGAAAGAGGAAATTTGACAAGAAGTGAAAGGACGGAGTGGAAACGAGGGTGGAAAATGGCTCGGAAGGGTAGCAACGACGTCTACTTTGTAACCGTAGACCAATACAAGTCTACAGTGGAAGCAGCTCCGGATATCATATTCCAGGATGTGCATTAGAGGCACTGAGTCGCTCGCCATCGTGGCCGTCCCGTTCCATCCCGTACCTTATCGTCGGCAAGCAACTAAATACAATAACGGGATGGATGACTCGGAGGTTGGCGCCGGGGGTTGGGGGTTAACGGCTTTCGCGACGACGGACCACTTTTCAGTCGCCTTTTCCACAAAGTGGCGGGGAAACGGAGTACATCTGCCCCCGCCTGTCTCCCTGCTTGTCTCTTTTTTACACGCGAGCATCTCTTTCTCTCTCTTTATCTCTCCTCCGACGATGCTTCGTCGACGCACAAAAGATGGTATCAACGATCTCGCGGTTGAGGTGTTCCGAGTGCCGTGCATGATAAATGAAAATTACGAATAAAGGCCATTAATCGCGACTACGAGCTAAGAAATTGAGTGACTTAATGTGAGACTGATCTTTCTTAAAGAAGGAATAGAAAGTTGTTTTGGAGAAAAATACATTTTATTTTATGGAAAAATATTTATATTAAAGTGTTTTTTATCACTTTGATTGCTTTTTTCGGATTGATATTTGAGTAACAAGTATGATAAATTCAAAAAATAAATCTAATTTACATATTATCTTAAAAACATAAGCACAAGAGGAATAATAAAAATTGAATTTTATTACACATGAATGTTAGAATATAAAGTTTATATATCATATAATTTTAATTATACTAACATTTTTCAGTGAGAAGATTGGGATAAATGAAATTATTTTTTGAGTATTATTTGTTATCATATATGTATAAAAATAAGTATCAAAAAATAAAGAGACAGAAAGAGACATTTAATCAATTTTATTAAATGTCTCTTTCTGTCTCTTTATTTTTTGATACTTATTTATACATTTATGATAACTATTAATATTAGAAAATCCTATATTTTATATACTTAACAATATTTTTACTTTTAAGTTCTTTTTTTACAAATTAGGTAAATTTATGCAAAATATCAATTTTATCAATTTATATTTCGATATTAAATGTACAATGTATGGTCTTTTTGTTCTCTCTTACATTAAAGAATAACTATGTGATATATAAAATTGCATTACTAGTTTTTGAATATTTATTAGTTCTAAAAAAGTTTTTGCATTATTGTAATATATATATATATATATAAAGTTCATGTACAATAGTGTGTGTGTGTGTGTGTGTGTTGATTTATTGCCTTTAAATTGCTATTTAAATTGTGTTTATTCATAAAGTTTTTTTTACATTTTTACATTCTTAAACTTGTATATAACTTTAAATTATAAAAATTAAAAAATTCTTATAAAAATTTCATAATTTTATTATTTTAATTATTTCAAATTAAAAAAAAATAGAGTAAGTAGAAATTAAATTGTTAAATCATCTTCCGTTATGGACAATTCCTGCATTAGATGTTTAATTGTTTCTATCGCATCATTACAATTCTTATCCGTATTTTGTTGTGTACCTTTTAGTATTACCTGAATTAATATAATATTATTGGTAAAATGTGATAATTTTATTAATCGTGGAATAACAAATTGATTTGTGCGAACCTGTATATATACAGAATAATGATCGGCAGGGAAAGGTTCAATCATTATATGTGTACAATCAGGAAGTAGATATGAATGAATTCTTTTGCTAACTTGCTTCTCTATATTCAAGGACAATATCAAAACCCATATAAATGCATATGCTAAATCAAGTTCAAAATTTACACATTTGTAATTGTCTATTGATCCTGGTAAATTTAGTCCTGATTGCGACTGAGTACTATCTCTCTTATAAAAGATTAATGATCCTTCATCATACTATAGGAAAAAGGAAAATTTATTTTAATAATCAAAAAAGCTGAAGAAAATATAGTATGATTTTATCATTCAATATTATATGAATATATATATATATATATATATATATATAAAATTTAATAATTCATATATATATTATATATATATATATAAAATTTAATAATTCATAACTTTGACGATTCATGATTAAACTTGTTATTACAAAGCAAAATATATTTAAAAATAGATATTTTAATGTATATGCATGTGTACATGCACGTCACGTCAAGAAAATAAATATATATTAATATTATGAAGCAAATAATTATCTGTACCTGTTCACATCGCCGTAACACCAAGTTTCCATTTGGTATTAAAAATACATATCACTTACAGTGCATATGGTTATGCTTTCCTCATTACACATTTCATTTAATTTTGTAATAATATAGTTAATGCGGTCTTCTCTTATCATTGCGCGTATTCTAAGAACTGTTTCTGCTCCAAAATTCTGAAATTAAAAAATTATTCTGGAAATTACATTTGGAATTTGGTTTTATTCAATTTTATAACGTATACACACACACGCGCACATATTTTACATATAATTACCAAAAGTAAAGAAGCCTGCGATAGCATTATTGCTTGTGTTTATTTCTATTCTAACTGATAAATTAATAAAAATTCTGCTCAATCAAAGACTGGTTTTCACATTATATCCTGCGATTATGATCAGTAGATAAGTAGCACTTATTTCATCAAAATATACGCCACTAATCAAAAATTCGATACTCAAGTATTTCTTTAGATTTAAAAATATCAAAAAAGTATAGAACACAGTAATATGTAGATAATTTTGAAGGACAAGCATAACAACATTTGTTTTTCTTTTTAAGTTATAAGTTTTTAGATAGATTTGATACCAATAAAACTCTCTCTTTCTTTCTTATAATAATTTTCAATTGCTTAATCTATACGTAGAAAATTATTCATGTGATATGAAAAAACTATATGGGAAATTAAGATAAATTGTTGAAATTATTTATAAATTGTTATACATAATATTGTTAATCTCCAAATTTATTAAGATTCAGTATTCCCGTTTTAAATGTTAGAACAATCTTTTTTGAATCTAATTTTATTATCTTACAACCAGTTATTATAATCTGATTTTAACATTAAAAACTAATATCATTAATATACATAATTTTATTATTAAATACGCGTCGTTTTATCGCTACTGTTTCATGTCTGAAATTACGTTTTTTCTTATATGTTATTACACATATATATCGCTCTCGAATTAAAATGTAATCTGATTTTAATTTTGATCTTCGTTACAAGCATCCCGTTTATTGCAAGCTCGTTCATTGCATTTTGCGGTTTCGCCGCGCGAGCATTTCTCTTAATTTCCTTATTACGGTTTTGTACAATCGTCGGCGCAATTTTTTTCCGATGCGCACACACACACATCAGAAAGAGAGAAGCCTTTTCTCCGCGTGTTCCGTTTGAAAATTTCTCGTATCTATTTATTCTCGGACGGTGCACAATGTCACGCGAGCAACGGGTAAATTGCGCCAGCCCCATTGTGGATCCGGGACTGTAAATAATACCGGGCAAAAAGCCCTGTCCCGTCGGGACGCGCGCCTCATTTAACGCATTCGTCCGGCGATAATTATTAAAGCCCCACCGTGATTTTAATCCCCCGGTCGTCGGAGAGAAAAAAAGGAAAGAAAAACCGAGCAGCGCGCGCTCGCGCGCACGATCGCGGACACAAACACCTCGTTAATTTATCTCTCCGACTCGACGGCCATTAAGGGAACACGTGCATACAGGCGGAGGATGCTGCCGAGGTGTAATCTCTACCACTGAAATGATGCCGAGGATGCTGGGCGCAATTTACATTGAAGCATTACGTAAAAGTATAAAAGAGATTATTTGTACATGTGGAATTTTAATTCGTCGCTCCCTTAGAATCTTTATCTCTTTGTTCAATCGTTATTAATCTCATAGAAAGGATTTACGAATATATTAATTATTGCGGTCATGGGCGTCCGCAGGATTTTTTCTAGAAGAGGACTGAATACATTTTTTTTATTTCTTATTTTTTGTTCTTTCTTAATTTTTATTTCAAAATTAAATATGCAAATAAATTCCAGTGTTTATTCAAAACGAAAACAAATTCTTAATTTTTTACTGATTTAGGGGGGCAAGTGCCTTTTTGTTTCTCTTGCCATGATTGTGATAGAATAAAATTACAAATCAAATGATTATAATTTTTTTTTTTGAAGTTATGAGGTATTTAACGGAGCATATTATACAGAAAATTATAATGAACAAAGAAAAAAAGGTATAATTTCCTAATGTTTTGAATATGATGTGCAAAAGGATAGATTACGAGCATCGACCAGACTTGAGTGCCTTTATAAATGCGGGTCTGTGAGAAGAAGCTGTGGATAGAGCTTTTGCTGAAGTAGCCGCTGGCGAGTGGCCGCCTGTGTCCACACATAGCGACTCTTCTCTCTTTTCCCTTTCTCTATTTTTTTTCCTCTTTCCTACGCAAAAGTGATGCTACTGATGTTGCTTGCTCGGCCGACTCGTGCGTCTCCCAAAGGAAGAGAAAAAGATGCGAGCGTAATGACTAAATAAAAGATGGAGCGCCAGATAGCCGCCCAGCGACATTACAGTTTACAGTGCTTATATGTCGGATCTGGCTTGATCTCAGGGCAAAAAAGCCCATTTCACGCTCCGACGTCGTGTGGCCGGCGGGATAAAATCGCGAAAAAGAGAACCGTTTCTTCTGTATACCGAAAGAATTTATCGCGGTGTCGATAGCGAGTATCTTCGCACGTCGATGATGATATTCGATTAACTGCTGCGCGATTAAAAGCGGTGTATTTTGAGAAAAAAATTGTACTCTTGTATCTCATATTACATATAGATATTTGAACATTTTTTAAATTCATTGTATTAACAATTCTGTTTCCTTTTTACGGATAAAAATGAATTTGTGACTTCGATAACACGTCAAGTATCCTAATCAGGATTCAAATTTTGATTAATAATTTAATGTTCTAATGGATTTTTCGACAATTTAGTTCTTTTTAGAGAAAGAGAATCCATTTTATATTTTGTTTTCGTGCCTTTGCGAATAAAAAATAAAGATTGATTAAAGTTGCATAATTTTGCCAAAATTCTAATTAAAGATCTAATCTCGCTTAAAAGCATATATATTCGACTGGACATTTATTCACGATATATTTCAGAATCATCGATACTTCGATATTTATATTGCAAGTCGAAATGAAGTAGTTGATCAATAAAAAGTTGGCTGAACGCGATAGAAAACTATACAGCGCTCGTAACTACTAAATCAGTTAGAAGCGAAGCGAAGCTATGAGCCATCTCGATCACAAAGTTACTCATCATTTCCCCAGCTTTGATCATTCCCCGTTACAGTCGAGACTTTCTTAGCAAATTACTCAGGGACGATGCAAGTGTCCTCCCGTGGGAGTTCGCCTCTCCGTCGTCTGGATCTCGCTAGGAGGAGACAAAGCAGGGAAGGGGAATGAAATCGGGACCGAAGTCTCTGAAGTCGAGGTTCGGAGGAGCCGAAGAAAAAGAGAAGGGAAATGAAACGAATAAAGAAACATATATTAGAAAGAACACCCGAGTCAAACGCGCGAAGGGGTTGAAATCGTCGCGCGCGTTAAGCAAACGCGCGCGATGAGGAACGAATTAAAAAGAGGGAAAGAGAGAGAAAATCGCTCGACAGATCACAGACTATTAATTAAAAAACTCGGCATCGCGACATTCTTGTTCGTTGCCGCGCGAAACACCGCTCTTCCTTTCGCGAGGCAGTCTGCGAAAGAAGCCTTTTGCCTTCTCCCTTTCAACACCCCATCGCCCACCCTTTTGCTATACTTTCTCGAGAAAGTCGCATACCTTCCTCATCCAATAGCGAATGAGTTACGAATGTCCCCTTTTTTTTTCTTGAATTTTCTTTGCGCGGTTCTTCTCTTTCCTCTCGCGCGTTCACGCAGAGAGATCGAGGGTGCAAAAATATAGGGAACGTATGGCACGTTATCCTTTTCACAGCTTCCATAGCTTGGAAAAAAAGAGAGGAGAAAAGGATTCCCTTTAGCGTCACTGCTGGATCCTCTCTCTTTGAAGAAAAATCTCTTAAACCGATTACTATATATATAGTAAAAGTAGCGCATTATTTTGCATAAGAGCTTAAAGTCTATCTCAATTATCATATATTATCAATATATTAATTTTAATAGCAAGGTATTCGTAATTGAATAAAAATATATTATTTGCAAAAATTGGGCAAAAATTATTTCTAGTGTAAAGAAATATTTAAAGGCCTAAATAAATTTTTTATAATAGCTCATGATGATAATTATTGAATGACAGCTTCTCTCCTCTCCTAATAAATCATAATATATATTTTTATGCATAAAACATGAATCAGTAAATTAAAATCTATAGAGAGGCTTAAAACAATAGCGATACTTTTACGATACGGAATATATAATTGGGCTTTATTTTTGATTAATATTTTTTAATGCAAATTATAGCTAATAACTATTAAAAAACATTAATCGAGTTTAAAGAAAATTATAACATATTATTTACAAATAATTTAAATTTACTTTTTAAACTATTTTAAAATTAAATTAGTAAATTAATGCTTTATTAACCCAGCAAACACCGATATATAACTGTTACATTGCTATATAATAAAACGGAATGTAACAGGTAATATAACGTGTACGTTACATGTAACATCCATATTAGTTGTAATTTCCCACTCATAGATGTAACATTTTTAATATATAATAACATATATTACATTGTAGTTATATTGTAATTATATACCAAATATCACATTGATTAATTTAACATAATATAAATATGGAGACACAAATACTGTGTTAATATTTTAACACAAAATAAATGCAAAACTTCCAATAATTTAAATTTTGTGTGTAATTAACATAGTTTTAATATAAAAATTAACTAGAATTATTATTAATTTTAGATCGAATTTATCATTCCCACACACTTATAAAATGAAAAATAAATATTTTTGTCTGTAAATTTTAACAGATAAATCTTGTCACTAATAAAACAGAACATATTTATTGTGTAAAATTAAAAATAGCTGCAAAGTGTGTTATTTTCACATCTTTTTCAGTTGTTTTAATAATTTAACATTAAAGTTCAATTAACAAGTAATAAGTATGTTAAATTAACACATAAATATGTTAAATATTTAACACAAAAATTTTAACGAGGATCGTTTTTACACGCAGAAGACACAAATTTTTCTACTGTGTAATTTCACGCGAGAAGACATTCAAAAAATTTTAACATAATACATTTCTTTGTAGCGGCACTAGTGCTAAATAAAGTAAATCTTGAGACATACACAAAGTGCGCGCGGCGCAGTAGACGAAAGTTTAAGAACCTTCAAGAGAACCAATTAAATCGTTATTCGCAAATTAAGTTTGATAATTTTGAGCAGTCTTCGAGAAGTGAACGCGACGAAGGAAGGGTTGGTAGTTAGAGATTGCAACCCGACGAACTTTGCAACTTCTCAGTCGCTTTTCGTACAACTTTTCTTGTTAACATAGCGATTATAATTTTTTGATCCAAAGCCAAGTATTTTCGACGAACGTATATGTATAGAAGTATGTAATTATACATTTAAGGGGAATTAAAAGGATTACCGTTACATATTGAATTGAAAATTATTATAAAAGAATAGCATTCAAACATGTGAGTATTGAAAAAATTGAGAAAAGAATTTTTCATTTTAATAATTATTTAAAAAATGCTTCGTGTACATTAGTATTTATTATACAGACAGAATTTTCTCTTAGATTTTATCCTGAAAATTATGACGGGACAATATATTGAAATATTGAAGAAATGTTATAAGTTTCTCTGATTAATATTTACCACAATAAAAATATTAATATCTATATCACAATAAAATATAATAAATATGTTTGATTAATTTTACTATCTGCGTAATAAAATTCATAATGTGCATATTAATATTTTTTATTGTCGTAAATATTAATCAAAAAAACTTCTAAAATTTTTCTAATACTATATTGTCTCACGATTACCATGATTTTCGGGGTAAATTCTAAGAGAAAATTCCGTGCATTGAAAAAAAATTTATTGAATTTAAATAAATATTTATAAATCACATTTATATTTGAAACTAATATATTGATTTGATGTGAAAAATATTTAGTTGACACAATCCTTTTCAAAACAGATAAATATTTATTTGTTTCAAATAAATAATTTATTAGGCAGTGTATTGTGTGAAATAAAAATATTTATTAATATACAATAATTTTTTCCAATGTGTCCAAACGTTTATTAAACGCAATAACAATAACATCAAACACTCCTATCTGTTACAGGACAGTTGGACACTCACGGGCTACGCAGAGTGCATTAAAAGAACATCCGCGCCGCGTATATACGAGAAAGAGAGAAAAGACTGAATAGAAAAAGAGAGGTAGTGGTCAGGCTGTTGCAGGCCGGGTGCAGGATGCATTGTAGCGCGGCAAAGGACCTCGCATTTTCCTCCTTTCTCCTTCGCTGTCCTTCGCATCCTCCTCTCGCGTCTCGGTCCATTCGGTCCTTTCTTTCATATACGCCGACGCAACCACCGGGTCGTCGCGCCTTTCTATATATATATACCGCGCCTTTTTCAATTCGCCCTCTTCTACCGCTGTTTTCCCGCGCCGCGACATGGCACATTTCCCGCGGCTTTTCCTCCCTGGAAAGCTCCGGAAGCGCCGTCAGATAGGAAACCACATGTTGCGGTTTTTCTCATGCCGCGCTCTTTTCCGTCCAGGTAAAATCTAATGGAATTTTTTATCCCCCCGTTACGAGTTGGGCGGCTTCTAATGAGAATCCGACAAGGTTTCGAGTCGATCTTTTCGCTTCGCGCTCTTTTATCGCCGCACATTGTCGAATCATGGCTCTTCGAACGAATATTTTTCCGTTTAATTCGCGAGCTATATCGTATATGCTTTTTTTCCATCGACTCTTCTATCGCGAACGAGAAACTAGATTACGATTTATTTGATGCAAGCGCACGCGTTTATCGATAGTCGTATATATGTAAAAAAAAAATCTCTCTGCGAATAAAAGTGGTATATATATATTTCACGGAAAAAGAATACCAATTCTTTTTTTTATTTAACCAATATTGCGTATCATTATTTCGTTTTCTTTTCTAATTATCGTGAATTAAATGCTAAGAGATATATAATTCCGAGTATTTTATCCTCTCTCGTTTGAATCTATGCGCCCATATTCCGATTTCGGAATTAATTCCCTCTCTCTCTCTCTTTTGCATCGCACACTTGGCCGGTTACCTCTCATGCCTCATTTCTCTTTCTCACTCTCGAATCTCGCACGTCTATCTTTATCGCGCGCCCAACTTGTTTTTCCCCTCTTTCTCTCTCTTACAATCGTTCGGTCTTTGTTCGGATGAGTTCGTGCGCTCTCGCTCCCTCTCGTGGCGCGCTCCCCCTACTCGGCCGGCGTTCAGTCTATGCCGACTTCAGTCTATCCCGAGTCGCCGCGCGCGCTAGTCGTAAGTTTTCGCCGGTTTCGAATCGTCGCGCCACATCGCGTTGCGTCGCTCGTTCGTTTCCGTCTACGTCATACGTGATACGGAAACGCCGTGCTCCTGTACGGAGACAGACGGGTCTGTGATTTTTTTATTTAGAAATTCGTGTGAAAATGATCGCGGCGACGTGGTAGATCCTCAGGGTGATGATCGGGCGTCACGTTCCGCGTGAGTGCATTGCTCTCGATCCCGGGAAGAAGTGAGACGCGAGATAGTGACGAGTGTCGCGCGTTCGATCGTTGTTGTATATATCATTGTTGATTGTGACTGTTTTACTCTGCTCGCCTCGGCCCATCAGCCGCCTGACATTCATCCTGCCACGTACACACAGGATACTTCGAGGATCGTCAAGGATAAGGACGGAGTCGCGACATGGACTTCGTAATATTAAAGGTAGGGTTTAACTTTTCCCCCTTTTTTTGCGCGCGAACACGGAAGCACGCGCGCCAACTTCATGGCGTATATATGTATATATATATGTAGTATAAACATTCGCCCTCGAAGAATATTATCGCGATTGTGCGTCCGACCGGGTTTCCCTTTTTTTTTCGCGGTGCGAAAATTCTCGGAAGCTCGCGAGTACGTGCTTCCGAAGCGCGCTTCGACAACCACACATGCGCGTATAAAAAAAGTTCGCTTGTCCTGCTCGCGGAATATTATCGTCATTGTCCTGGCTCCCGGTAGCGCGCGAGTTCTCGGAAACGCTCCGAGCTCCAACTTTTTGATTCGCGACGCGAATTCTCGGAAGCGCTGCACACGTACGTACACACGCGCGTGGAAAAAGTTTTCACTTGTCCCACTCGGAGAATATTATCGTCATTGTCCTGCTGTTTGGTCGTGACGCGAGTTCTCGGAAGCGCACCGACTTTTCGTAGCTACTACACGTACGCATATATACATGTATACGTGAAACGTTTGCTTGTTTATTCGGGGGAGTATTATCCTGCTTTAGTGTAATCTCGAGATATCGTAGCATATAAAGAAATCGTTTGTCCTATTCGGATTATTTCCATTATCGCGATATATATATATTTTTATTCGTATATTTCCTCGTTCTATTCGAGAGATTATTATATTATATTATTTAATATCCTATCAATTGATACATTATTCAAATATGTTACTAATATATTGCTAATTATGTAATATATTATTATAATTATTATTTAATATATTCTGTACTAATTCTATTACATATTTGCTATCTATTGCACAATATAATGTGCAGATAAGTTTTCCGAATTTATAAAATTTGCGAGAAAGTTAAATCGTCGCTCGTTATCTTCCAACGAGCAGACGCGACAAGAGTATAAAAGGGCTTTTCCGTGGAGGGCAAAAACACATTGTATTCTCGAGTATTCATCGCGCCAAACGTGCCTTATCCGCATCCATATCATGGTTCTTGAGACGAGTCGTGCACTCGCGGCCTGTGTGTAGGAAGTTACGAACATGTTGCGCGAACAAAAACGAGCAATCCACTCGTTAACTCGTTTGTATCGTGCCTGGCAACGCGATATCGAGCTTCAACTCGATTACGCGATCTACTATCGTAGATAATCGTAGGAAACTTTATTCGCTCTGATATAATTCTTTTCTGAATTTCTATATGTGCCTTTTAATGGTTTTATTTATCAAAGTTTCGTATGATTCTACAGGCATATTAATACACTCTCATCTTAATCTTTTATTTTTTAAAAGTGATGTTATACATTGCAAAAACATTGTTAACTTGATTAAATCGTTCAGTTAATTACTGTTTTGTTAATTCAACATGTAAAAGTATTTAAATTAAATCTAACATACTTCAGTGTCTAGCGGTCAGGGAAATCTGGAAAACCGGGCATTGTCAGGAGATTTTATAAATCTGCGGAATTGTCAGGGAAAAGTCAGGAAATTTTACCATTTATCTGGACATTATTTTACATTTGTCTCAATAATTTGAAATTTTTTATTAAATAAATATAAATTTTTCTTCGACTCCTAGCACGCAAATTTTCTGTGTTAAAAATCGAGTCATCTACAGCGTGTTCGTTAATTTATATTTTCAGCATCATGTTATTTATTTATTTCAATGTGTTTGATAGAGACAAAATTAAAAAATTTGATATAATATAAATAAAAAGGGTGATTATTTAAATAGTTTATAGTGACATGTTTGTTTTGATTATCGTACATAATGCAGATTGTACATATAATTGATTAAAATTTGGTTTTTTTTTAACTTTCGAATCTTTTCATTGTTGACAAAAATATCTTAAGGATTTCATGATTTAACATTTAATTTTGATTTAACATACAGATATATGCAAATTATATATTTGGGAAAAATAATACTAAAAAGTCAGGGAAAAAATTAATTTCTGGTCTTGGAAAATCTGAAAAAGTCAGGGAATTTTTTTTAGTTGCTGAACACCCTGATACTTACACATATATTTATAATTAATAAAATAGTAATTAATTGGTATTTAGTCAAATTAACAACTTTTTTCCTAGTGTATTAATTTGATTTTTAATTATAACTTTATAAATAATTTAAAAATAGATTTTGTAGATTTAATTTAAAAATAGATTTTTACAAATAGTGCGAATCGTGATACAATATTTCGTGAATTAATGCGGAAATAAAAAGGAAATATATTATATTAGTTATTTTAATTTTATATATATAAAACTTTATATATATATATATATATATATATATATATATATATATATATATATATATATAAAGTTACGTTATTAGGCAGTTGTATAAAAGAGCATTAGCTTTTCTAGGACTTGATTAAAATGACTCACTATAAAAAGAGGATTTTACGCGGGAATTGATATAAATCGAGACAGGAATGTACAAAGCGTTACATTGAAATCGTATTAAGCTACATAGGGAGTTAATAATGTCGTTTCCCGATGCCGATGTGTGTTAAATGCCGGGACACACACCGTAGACAAGAACGAAATCGATTAAGCGCTGATCACATCCATTTCCGTGTCCTCCGCCGTGTCGCGATTTGAATAACGGTCGTTGTTGGATGACAATGTCTATTCGCCGATGAGATTACATTTTACACGTTATAAATGCGCGCTCGTGCAACGTTTACGTTCGAAAACGTCCCACCGGGGTCGACACATTACGATGCATTTACATCGCGAGCAATAATACACGTGACGTTTATAGACTCGTGGTCCAGACGTAAATACCGTGCCATTAAGCGACTCGCTGCTATTGGCGCGTCGAATAAGCTCCAAAAATGCCTCCCCCTCTCTGGATATATATATATATATATATATAAAAATGAATATTTGTACAACGTATTGCACAAATACCATGTGCCGAGAGCGTTATGCTGTTACGCTGCGCGTTATGTCGGATCCAATATTATATCCGCGAAATTCGCCCGAGAAAAGCCCGAATACTTATTTACCTTTCGCGTGCCGAAAATTGACACAGTCCGCTTGAAAACTATCTCTACATCGTTATAGTTACGGCAGGTGCAGTTATATATGCATATGTACATATTTCTGTGCATGGCAGACAAATATCGGACGAAATTACTGTGATTGATGCATTCAATAAAAATTGCAGAAATTCAACGAAAAGCACACGAGTTGAACTCGTATGTATAGTTAAAAATGTCACATATATGTCATGTATTTTTTTACGGTCGACGCACAGTCTCTCTAAATATTTTTTAAATAATCTTACGCTTGAATTCGGATAAATTTTTATAGGCGTAATATTGTATATAAATCGTTAAGTCGATGTTATTCATCAAAACAATCGTGACATTGAATATGTATCGCGCGAGTATCGATTAACAAAGAATTTATTTAAAAGGGTATATTAAAGATTATATATATATATTAAACCAAATTTATTAAATACTCATTAAGATGTTTGATACGAGGGATGTTGATACGAGAAATAAATGAATGTTTTTATACTATAATTATATACTATTTATATTACATTTATTTAATTCTCTACACTCTCTACGCTATACGTATTTAAAAAGAAAATGTAATCTTCCATTAATACATCCGTTTCAAGTAATTATGAATAATTATTTTTTAAATAACAATAACGTTATATTTTTGATAAATATTATATACACATTTTAACGTACTAATGTATTTAACGTATTAAAAATTCTATTATTTCGTATCGTTCATCATGATTCATTGCAATTTTTAAAAAGTTGTAGAAGTTTTCAAGAATTCTCATTTCTCCTTTCTGCTTCTATTCCGTTTCCTATCGGAGTCGAGATCTTTGCGTTTATTTGTTTCCTTGGCATAAAAAGCGATAAAAAGCTAAACGATCCAATTGCGGTGGATGGGCATGAGGTATATTGCTCGGAAGGGTTAAAGGTTTAGAACGAGCGATCATTCGTACGTATCGATGCGCCCTGAAAGTGGACGTTTCCGACTTGATGTATGAACGGGAGACGAGAGCGGAAGTAAATGATTTTTCTCTATCCTGCATCATAGAATTAAATCTTTAAATTAAAGGAAAAGTTTACAGGAAGGGATTAAATTAAAGGAAAAGTTTTTCGCTAAATTAAGATCGCTCCCATTTTGTCTCTTTATCCACTATCCTACCTATTTATCTTTTTCTCTTTAATTATTTCGGACACATCCGCGTGTAATTACTATGAACCGAATGACGCAACGTTTCAGTTATCGCCCGCGTGTCGTGTCGGAATTTTGCCACGGTGAACATCTGCATTTTTGCACGGCACGTTCCGCCCTTCTGTTCTCGCACCGCCGCTGATGTGTATTTCATGGAGATAAAGCTGGTCCGGTCAGTTTCAGTGACGTTTCATAATTTTTTCCTCGTGTAATCTGCGAATAAAATATTTCTGGCATGTGAGCTTGAAACAGTGAAAAATTGTGTTATCTGTTTAAAAAATATCGAGGGACATATGTATATAGAGTATATAGACATTTTGAGTCGAAATTTACCACTTTATATTTGATTATTCAACCAAAAAGAGTATATTTTATTTCTGGGAAATAAAATAATAATTGATGTCATATTTTAATGTCGAGAAAATGCTAGCTAAAGTAAAATGTAAAATATAAATTTAATGGAATTTATTAATTAGTTTCTATAGTGCCGTTTTCATTTAAAATTTTTCAACTATTCTGTTTGTTGCATATGAAATATTAGATTTCAAGGTTTTTATAATTTTATAAATTATAAAGCACTCTCTCATACTGTACATAACTATTTTTATTAAAGTATAATTCTTTTAAATAAGTATATTTGAGTTTGTGTGTGTGTGTGTGTGCAAGATATTTACGTTTTTTTATTCATAATAAATTTGCACAATTTATGTAACATTTTTCTATGATTTTATGTAAAAAACAGACTTTAGAAATACATTTTGTAATTT